AAATACTAATGCATGAAAATCCTAACCTCAAAAAAATCACCCGTTATATCAGCAAAAAGTACAGCCGTGATCATTTTTTGTGTAACAAATAGATATTAGAACACACTTTCCGCCATACAGTTTCGATTATAAAAAGCGGGAAAATGTGATTTTGATGTTTGATCGAAATTAAAAATAATGCTCGTACCTGACCGGTTGTCTGGAAATGGAAAGCATCAGTATTGAATTCCTGAACGAAAAAAAGAAATTGAATTAAACGTTATTGAAGACAAAAGCACAAGTTTGCGATTCGGCAGAGAGCAGCACTACTGACATTTGTTACACTTCATCAGTACGTAGCGCAATACGAAAGCCATTTAATCAATTTTTTCGACCAAAGTGGACCACTAGTGGACACAAAGTGAACCAGTGTTAAAAGTTTAAGACTTTTGTTATATAGAATTAGTTCTACTCTGTACCTGTGATATGCAAGATGTATTTTGTTTTTTTTTTGTTAAAAGGAGATAATAAATAAAATGTTTTTTTATTAATACATATATACAGTGACTCAAAAATTTACCACGTGTTGTGTTTGTGGTTTTTCTATAACAATACCGTCCAAGCTTTAACCAAAAACACATAAAACATATAAATCACAGTTTCAAACTTTATACAAAATTTAGGATAATTCAACATATTTTCGTCAAAATTTCAACTTTTTTATCTGAATTTTTGGGTAAGTAGTTTTATAGCCCATACAATTTTAGTCAAATGAAAAGCTAGATTCAACCTGCTAAAAAATCGCGTTAATTTTCGAGAATTGCTTTTGGATACTACTTTTGCTGGTTTTTTTTTAACAAGCGTAATTTACAAGTAATTTTTAAGCAAAAAATAACACGGACCTCAATTCTTATATAAAAATTTAAGATTATCGTTAATTTCTTCATGATCCATTGATCGAATTTAAACCAAATTAGTATGGGACCACCTGTGAGGTAACACCTTTCCTTAAAAAAAAATATTTATAGAAATCGGTACCGTGGTCCAAAGTTATGCAGTCACATACACAAAAAGAATATATATTCCGACAAACTGATAACCATCTCCTTTTTGTGAGGCCGGTTAAAAACTGGTGTTGATTTTTTTTTTAATTTTTTTGCTAACGGTCTCCTGCATTTTATTTCGTAAGAAATTCTTGCTTATATGGAAGTGCAAAGATCCATCACTAAAAAAAATATTAAAAATTAACGTTAAACTAAAATTGTATTGGGCTATAAAACTTCTTACCCAAAAATTCAGATAAAAAAGTTGGAACTTTGTCCAAAATATGTTGAATTCTCTAAAATTTTTTATAAAGTTTGAAACTTTAATTTACTTATATGTTTTATGTGTTTTTGGGTAAAGTTTAGAAGGTATTTTTATAGAGAAATTTAGCACGAAAGACATTATGAATATTTAAAAGAAATCAGCACATGGCAATTTGTTTGAGTCACTGTATGGACAGTGGTGGCCATATAATTAGGGACACTATTTTTTTTTTTTACTTTAGACCATTTCTTTATTTATTTTTAATTTATTTTTTACAAAAATATAGTTTAAACTAGAAAAAAACCAAGTAAAACAGAAAGTTACAAATCTTGTGCAAGATTTATTAACAATCGCCAATTTTCCAAAAATGGACATAAAAATTTCAAGCTTTTCAATCAGAATTTCTGGAAAAAATAGGGTATACACTTTTATAGCCCATTAATTTTTAGTATCGTATTGTGCTAGGTATTCCAGTTGATTTTTGATAATATTTTTTGGAGGTGGAGCTCATGTTCTTCTATGTGTGTAAAAAAAGTTTCGAATATACTTTATATGGAAGAAAATGTGTAATACCGTCAGCAATGTAGGCACATTTCACTTCGATCGTCTTCGAAACACGTAGATTTTTCAGGCGCTTTGCTTCCCTTAAAAATACACTCGCGGCAACACTGCTCACGTACTGCATAAATAACGTACTCCGAATATAAAAAAAATTTAAAGAAACATAATCCAATTAGAAATTAAATGAGAATATGTGCTGGGCGGCGTTATGTACTGTTGCCTGTGGTAAGCAGTGTGACCGGGTTAGCCCTTTTGAGGGTAGATTTAGCATTTCATTTTACACTTCTGATCAACTAATTAAGCCAGCAACATTTTGATCAAATTTGGCCCTTTTTGTTTTGTTTATTTAATGTCAAATTTATTTTGTATGGAAAAAAATTTGTAATGCAGTAAAAAAAATTATTAAAAATCAAAGCGATTATTTAGCAACTTAAGACTTAGAATTTAATGGGTTATTAACCTGCATACTCAAAAAAATTCTACAAAAAGTTTAAAGTTTAGCTGAAACTTTGCAGATTTTTCATAATTTTTGCACAAAGTTTGAATGTGGATTTATATGGTGTTTTTATATAATGAGCTAGACTTTTTTGGAAAAA